TGTGAGGAGTATGAAATATACATGTGAAGCACTTAGGTGCTGTCCCGCTCCCAGGAAGCACTAGACACATGGTAGCCGTCACTTGGTCCAGGTGTTTCCTCCCCTCCTACACTGCTGCCGTTTAAAGAGCCCAGAGGCTCCCTGAGGTCCCTTTGCCTCTTAGCAAGGAGAAGTGCTCTGACCTGGTTCTGGCCCAGAGCAGTTTATGAACCCGGAGCACTGTTTATCTAGCCTCCTTTCCTGTTGTTACTGCTTTCTTCCTCGAGTGTTTGCTTTTTCATATTATAAAAGTAATATATGATTCAATATTTGGCATATATTAAGAGCTCAATAAATGTGTTGGCTGAGTGAATATGCTCATTGTGGGAAAATGGAAACAATATAGATTATATGTTATGGAAAAATATAAAGTAAAGCAACTATCCCCAACCTATGGGTATAAGCTGTGAAGTTCGGGTGCGCTGTTGACTTCTGCTAGGATGGGACACTTGCCACTGTCTACTTCCCATTCAGTGCCTCCCACATCACCCCTAAATGGCTTCCAGGTCCATCTCCTTTCTTTCGGCCTCTCCCCAGCTTTCCATGCCCTGCTGCCTCTCCCAGATCTTGGCACTGGGTCCACACTCTCATCCTGTCCATTTAGGTTGGTTAAGGTAGGCCAGGTGCCCTGTCGAGCCAGCCTTGCCTGTTAGAGGAACATGGATTCCCCTCTCATAATTTAAAGGATGCCAAGAAGTCTTGTCCAATATGCCTTCCCCTAACCTCGGTACCCAGTTCCCTTTCCTAGGAGGAATAGCCCCTTAGGTTAACACTTTAGTATGAATTAGTTTGTTGGATCCTTCCTTTCTGATTAGAGAGGAAGGAGATACAACAGTGCCCTGAGAGGACAAGAGGGAGTAGGAAGGAAAGGGTGAGGCAAAATTGGCTGGCCCTACTTTTGCCTGCACCTAGTTGACTTTTGCTCAGTGCCTCTTTCCTGGCACTCACACAGAATATGAAAACTAGCCCCTGCTTTTTAGCCAGAACTGCACAGCTTTAATGAAGGGTAAGTTAAACCCAATTAACAGCTAAAGTCTGAAGAGTGCCTGGGGTACAGATTTTGGAGGCAGGCAGATCCTGGGTTGAAATCTGAATTCACTTCCTGATTACGGTGTGGCATTCAGCAAGCTACACCATCTTTCTGGACCTCAGGAAAATAGAGATGCCATGAGAATGAAACGAGCTGATGTGCATCAAGGGCCTGACACAGTCAAGCACAAGATATATTCCCGTGCTCTTCCTTAGGGCCAGAACTGTGGGATCAGACTCAACTCCTCAGGCAAGGCCCAAGTATGGTCCCAGCACTGCCCATTCATGATTAGATCACCCCTATACCTCTTCGCCTTTCACCAAGTGCCTTCATATATGCTCCAGCGGACCAAAACCGGTAAGGGCTTACTTAACATATAAATATTTAGAACATGCTTAGTCAGTTAATCATCTTATTTTACATCTAGATTTAGGAAGAAATGAAGGCATTTCTTAATGCCTTAAGATTGTCCTGTAATTTCCTACGTTAACTTTTGTCCCCTCATTATGATTATAAACGTCTTGTGGGAAAAGACCATTTTTACATATGTCACCTCTTACTACAGCCTTGTGAAGTAGGTAATATTGTTCCTATTTTATAAGATGAGGGCCCAAAGCCATAGCCAGTAGGAGGCAGAGCAAGCCTGTGACCAGGCTCTGACCATGCTCTAGCTTTGCCTCTCTCATCCTGTTGGGTCAGACCACTGTGTGGCCTTTAGAATGGCCAAAAGCACCGTGGGGGCAATGACACAGAGTGGTTTGAATAGTGCCGGTGTCTCTGTGCTAAAGAAAAAATATATATAATTTTATTTTTATGCAGACCCAATGTTCTATCTTAGACTTTACTTACAGTCCCGTTCATGTTTAAAAAACTAAAATAAAAAACAAGACAAAAAAAGCCATGGCCTGTTCTTCTCATTCATACATAAGAATTCAGGCTTCTAAAGGGGGCAAGAGTAATAGAGGAGGGCAAGGTATTTAAAAATTAGTTCTCAGTCTTTCTCCCTTTGGTAAGTTATTCTTAGAAAGAATTAGGAGAGAAAGCTTTGGGTGGCCGGGGCAATCACTCTCAGGCTGAGAGCCCATCTGAGTTAGCTCTGCCTGCAGAAAGCCTAACTAGACACCCACCAGATCAAAGCCAAAGCCACACTGCCTCCCTGAGCAACATGCGACTGCTTAGAAGGAAATAGCCAAGGTGAACCCATAATGTTAACACAAACCTAAAAAGTGGTGACAAATGTTACAGTGACATTTAAGAATTTAGTAAGGAAACCAGGACAGGAAAGATCTTAAACCACACAGGAAGCTTGTCACAAGTCTCAAGTATTTTATTTTCAGAACAGAAGCTGGTTTTATTTTTAAAAAGAGAAGGGGGTGGAGGACATGATAAATGCTAGTGAGGTGCCATTTCCCTTCTTCCAGGATCTAACTGCCAGCTAGCTCTTCCATAAAAACACATGAAAT